CCCAAACAAAATGGCTGCCACTTGTCAAGAGGCTAGACAGAGCACTGGGGCTGCTTGTATACATGATGGGTTTAGTCCTGAGGGTTGTATTCTACGGCCCCTAAATTTAAATGGTGGGTTTTTAATTGAAACAGTGGGGTTTTATTTTTCTGTCACTGTTATTTCCCTCACACCTGCGCAGCCATGCATTGATCTATAAGATGCATTCACTCCTGCCTAAGCCCTTCCCCTCAACTGGAAGGATCAAGAACAACACCTGTGCTCCAGTCCCCTTCACTCTTACACCCAGAGCCCTGCAGTCACTCTTGTTCTGCTCAGGGTCACCCCTGGCAATATCATTGGTGCACACATGGATGAGCAGCATGGGGTTGTAGTCAGAGGGTTAGACAAGTCTTGGTAAACCTCTGACATTTCAGATCTGGGCTCCAGGCAAGCAGCAGACCTCCCCTGACAACAGATCCATCTGGTAGATAGACCCCTCCATCTCCTGTAGAAGGGCATCTCCAACCACCACCACTCATCGCTTCTTCTTTGTGGCAGTGGTCTGGCCTCTTCCACCAACAGAATGTGCTCCTCCTCCTCTGTTGCCAGCGCTCCATATCTGTTCTCTAAGCAAACCACTACAGGTGGGGATAACTTCTTGCTGCCACAGGTCACAAGTTTCTCATCTTCCACCTTCCTAGGAGTCCATGCCCTCTTCCTTTTCTAGAACCGCCTGAGGCAGTCCTTCCTCCAGTCCTAGAGGTTTCCTCCAGCATGGAATTCATGAAGTCCCCATGGAGGAGGATGCTTCGGAGCATTGCTACCCCTCCCATAGCTGTCTTGCCTGCTTCCTGAGGGGCACCACCAGAAGGCATCGCTCACACCGCAGGCGCTCCCCCACCCGGCTGAAACTGGAAAGAATCCTCAAGCTGCAGTCTGCACAGCACCAAACCAGCACCTGGGTGGGAGCCTGGATGGTGTGCAGTCCTGCCTGGACAGACACCTCATAGGCACAAGCAGAAGAAGAGCTGGAAGTGGCAGTGACTCTGGGATTGCAACATCCTCCAGCCATTCCTCTGGGTCTTCTAATCTGCTGCCTCTCACTTCCTGCCTTTCCTTCCAAGCAGACCTTCCCTAGCAAACTGCTCTGTAGCTGACCTGTTTGCTGTCCCTTGATCCTGAAGGGCTCCCCTTTCCCTGCAAACCTCTATCTTCTCAGCAAGCTTACAATGAAGGAATGTGAGAGAGATTTTTCCAGGAAAATTCCCCCTCACTCTGGATTGTAGTTAAACAAGGGGCTAAGTATAGATCTAACTACTGATTTTTTAGCTGCTTAAAATAAAACTATGTAGGCTAGTCAGGTTTAATTACATATTAACAGAAATAATCTTACCTTACAGGTTCCCCTTAAAAGATGGGGTTAGCAAACTGTCCTGTTTGATTCTCCCTTATATATCTCTCCTGGGCTTGGACTAGCTAGGCTCCTTTGTTACACCCAGGCAGCAATCAATTAGCAATCACTGGGATGCTCAGAGCACACACCTGCACACGACCCACCAAACAACCCTCAGCAAGCTAAGCAGGCAACCCTGGCTTGCTTACCTTCCCAGAGCAGAATCTGGTGCTTGGTGCCTGGTTCCTCTTCCCCTTCTTCCTCTTGCTCCTAGTAAACTGTTTGCAAACTATCCCATTTGCTTCTCCCTGATTGCTGCTCCCCTGGTCACTTGAATACTTCCTTATTCGAAGTGACTGCCATTTCCTATTACTATCCAGAAGACTGAAGCCAGCAAAATGGCTGCCACTTCCCTACAGTCAGTCTGCACGTGGCAGTAAGGCTGCCTGTAGTAAAGGTGGCTGCCTCCTACCACTCTTTCGTGAGATTAAAACCAAGCCCCCAAACAAAATGGCTGCCACTTGTCAAGAGGCTAGACAGAGCACTGGGGCTGCTTGTATACATGATGGGTTTAGTCCTGAGGGTTGTATTCTACGGCCCCTAAATTTAAATGGTGGGTTTTTAATTGAAACAGTGGGGTTTTATTTTTCTGTCACTGTTATTGCGAGGGGCCCGATCCTGGGTGGGGGGTGTTGGTGGAGCCTGCCTGCAGCCGGGAGGCAAGCTGTCAGTGGGCCGAGTGGCCCTTGAGCTGTGGGGGGCCCTGGTTCTTCCCTCCACAGTGACAGTGCCCCCCAGGGCCACTTGAGCGGGCTGCTAGCAGGCCGGGTGCTTCTCAGCTTGGAGGCAGCACCTGGCCTGATCCAACCCTTCACTGATCCCGAGCTGGGACAGCACCCGGCCCGCTAGCAGCCTGCCTGGGTGGCTGTGCGGGGTGCCATCACCATGGAGGGAAGGACCAGGGCCCTCTGCCTCTCAGGGGCCACTCAGCCCACCAGCAGCTCACCCCCCAGCCATGGGAGAAGGGGGCAGGCTCCGCCAAAATAATAAAATAATAGGATTGGGCCCCTTGCTGCTTCTGCAGTCAGCAGAAGCCTGTTGAAGGCAGAAGCAGTAAGAGGCCCAATCCTTTTTTCTGAGGAGTCTTTCTGCCTCTCCCATGGCTGGGGGTGAGCTGATCAATAGCTGCAACACATCGTTGCATCGAGATGTAGTTTAGTTTGCAACGATGCAAACTCATTTAAAATCCCCAAAACCCTTACCTGTGTAGTGTAACATCATTAAGCCACACACGGTGACTTTTTTGGCACGTACATGGTAATGGCATCACGTGTACAAGTGCCTACAAGACGCAACAGAAAGGTGCATGTGAGAAATGAAAGGGGACAGGAGGTAAATGTAGGGGTACCACACAATGGGGGTGTGATCAGGAAGAGGCCTGAGAGGGATACAGAAGATAGAAATGGGATGAGAGATGAAGATCAGATGACAGCTCCCCCATCTTGGTAGGGGAGTAATGGTAGGGGGAAACAGAGAAGGCAGCATCCCCTAAATCTTTTTTAAAAAATGAAATAAAAAACCTCACTAATATATTGGTTTAGATCATAATTTTAAGGAAATCTCATGATGTTGAAAATCTGACTTTAATTTTGTGTGTGTTGCACTGGCAGTACTGGATCTTTTAATTCTCAGCACTGGGCAGAATAGCTGTGTTGCTTTAGCTTAAGCCCAGGAGTCCTTTAATGCCAGTGTCCTTTAATTGTTCCCCAATATTTACTGGGAGGTAAATTTACTTGTCTATAGCTACTGTGTTGTTCTCCTGATTCTTGTTTTCACAGCCCCTATTAAGCTCCAATACATTCAAATGCTAATGTCTTAAAACCCAGTATACAATAACTTGATCTCACTGGGTCACATAAAATGTTTCTAATATTATTATGTCTCAGTATTCTTAGATTACATAGCAACTCCACATCTGTCAGTTAGAAATAAAGGATCTCATTCCATAGTAATGCATTGGGCTTCTATCCTGCAAGCTGCCTTTTATCTGTGAATGCCTGTCCCCACACAGAGCCTGACTGAAGTCAATGGGACTTCACACATATGCAAGGGGACTGCCCTGCAGAGAAAAGATTGCAAATAGGATCTTAGATATTTCTTTTTTCACAGAGCTGCTTCTTCCTCTTTGTAGCTGACACAAGATGACCAATAAAAAGTTAAGGAGAAACACAGCATTAGGTATGTAATCTTCTTACAACAAACTTTTACAACAAACGAAGCATTCCACAGTAGAGGAGTATTTACTCCACAAACAAAAATAACCTGGAGCTAATCACATTCCATGGTAATTAGGCCTTTTTAAGAACCTAAAATAGATGAAGAACAATATCTAGACTATGCCTGCCTCCTTCATTCTAATTCAATCTGGATTCAGGCCTGGATTTGGTAGAACAACTAGATTAATGACATTGGCTGATAAACTCCTCCTGACAGTGGATGATCAAGTACCCATAGCATTTTCAAATTTGTAAAATGCCTTCAACATTGTTGATCGTAAATGTATTTCTGTTCCCCGGCAGAGATTAGCAAAACTTGTTTGGAACAGCTTTCAACTATTTGTTGGGAGAACCCAGGGCACTGACAGAAAATGTTTATCTGCTCCAAAGGATCTTGACTTGCATTTCTTTGCACCTCACATCATACGTGAATGATATAAGTTATTCATGAGAAAGTATGAGGTACAGCATTCCTTATGCATTAAGACACCTGGCCTTATGGCAACTTCACCTCTCAGTATACAGTGACTGAAAGGGATTGGGCTGTGAATAGAAAAGCTGGCTAGAGCTCAGCGCAGAGAGCCCTGAGTTAATGCTCAAAGGTTGGAGGAAGTGACTGAAAGTCTTAGCAGAGATTTATGTCAATCCCCTTGACTGATGTAGTACGTCTATCATTGATTACTCAGGTTCATAATCAAAAAGTCTAATTAAAGAAATAATTGCTGGTAGATCCTCAGATAAAAACTGTTGCCCAAACTATTTTTTATTTGCACCTGGAATGGGTATGTAACTGCTCCTTCCAGATCAAACCTGACTGCCATTATACAGAATTCTCTTACCTGAAGATTAGCTTACTGTGTGGAGCTGCAGATTAAAAAGCAGACAAAATTGGCTAGTAGAGACAGCTGCCTGCCTATTAACCAATGTGTCATGGACAGCAATTTGCACTAGTGTGCCAAGATATGCTCTGAGTGCCTGTTAATTTTAGAATAATGTTGTTGATGCATAAAAGCAGAAGTTGCGGATCTTCCACTACTTCCAAGAGCTTCCCTCCCACGCCTGTTCTACCTTGGCAGCTGACTGAGCTGATAGTGTTGTTGTTTAAAACAATGGGGCCTAGGCCAGCTTTCTGAAGAACTCTTGACTCTAACATTTGCTTTGCTAGTTAGCCTGAAAAATCCTAAATTGATATTATTCAAGATATTACACTGTTCACTCATTTTCACAGGCTTTTTCTAGGACAGGGGTGATT